GCATTCTTCGTCCCAGACGAATCCGTTAACCTTTCGCAGTACCTTGAAGAAAGGTAGAGCGCGCTCGGCTAACTTGGAGAGGAATCGGCTGAGGGCTGCTAACCGACCGGTCAATTGCTGGACTTCCCGAACGGTAGAAGGTGGTTGCATGTCTAGAATCGCTTTCACCTTGGCCGGGTTAGGTTCGATTCCTCTCTTAGTCATCATATAGCCGAGGAACTTGTCGGTCTGAACCGCAAATGTACACTTGGTTGGGTTCAACCGCAGCTAATACTTCCTCATGATCTGGAAGCACTCCCGGAGATCCCGAGTGTGGTCGGATCGGTCCCGACTCTTGACCAGCATGTCATCAATATAAGCTTCCATCGTTCGGCCTAGCAAATCGGCAAAGAGCATATTGACCATTCTCTGATAGGTGGCTCCTGCGTTGCGGAGACCGAACGGCATCACTCGGTAGCAATACAGCCCGTCCGGGGTCACGAAGGCTGTCTTGCTCTCATCTTCATGGTGCATCATGATTTGATGATAGCCCTTGAATGCATCCATGAAGCTCATCAATTCGGCCCCGGCCGTCTCGTCGACCATCTGGTGGATACTCGGTAGAGGATAGGGGTCGAGCGGACAGGCCTTATTGAGGTCGGTAAAATCAATGCACATCCTCCACGCTTGGGGCTTAGGAACAAGAACTATATTAGCCACCCACTCGGGATAGATCACTGGTCGGATGTGCTCGATCGCCGCCATCTTCTTGACTTCCTCTCTAACAAACTCGCGGCGATCGGAAGAAAGGTGCCGGGTTTTTTGCACAACTGGCTTTGCTGCGGGATCGACGGCTAACTTGTGACAAATAACAGATCGGTCGATCCCGGGCATGTCCTCGGGCCCCCATGCGAAGATATCGGCATACTCCCGGAGTATGGCCAAAATTTCTGCTCGAAGATCGGGGGTGAGGGCCCGACCAATCTTGATCTTCCTATCCGGTCGGTCCCCGGATAGGGGAACTTCTTCTATCTCCTCGGAAGGCTCTGGTTGTTCCTTCCGATCTTTAGCCTCTTCTTTGGCTATGGTGTTCACCCGGGAAGACGAACCGGAATCGCGTCTGTTAACCGCTCGGGTGTAACACTTCCTGGCGGATTGGACATCGCCACGGACTACACCGACCCCATTGGGGGTGGGGAATTTCATGCAAAGGTGAGGCATTGAAATTATCCCACCGATCTTCATAATGGCGGGTCGGCCCAAGATGATGTTGTGGACGCAATGGAGGTTGACCACAACGAATTCTAACTCCGTCTTGATCGACTTCGGGGCCGTGCCGATCTCGACCGGGAGCGTTATCTTTCCCTCGGGGTAAATAAGAGCCCCGGTAAAGCCAGACAGTGGTACACCGACCGGAGTCAGCTCCTTCTTGTCTAGTCCAAGCTTTTCAAACACGTCCAAATAAAGGACGTTCACACTGCTGCCAGTGTCGACCATAACCCTCTGGACATCCGTCCCTTTCACATCAATTGTGACCACGAGTGCCTCCATGTCGTGGTCACCGCTACTGGGTTGATCTTCCAGGGTGAAGGTTATGGGCTCCATCTTTTGCCTCTTCCCGGTCTCTCGGGAATCCACTATAGCGACCGGGCAATTACTCCGCGGTCGGGAAGCGTCTTCCAATCCACCGAAAATAACGTGTATGGTCGGCTTTCCTGCTGGTCGGCTGCTAGATGGAGGGTCAGGGTCCCGTCGGTCATCGCGACGATCATCTCTTCGATCGTCTCTTCGGTCTTGACCTGACCGATCGGAGCGGTGATGGGAACGCCGCTGATCTCTCCGATCGGTATTCCTCTTGGGGTCCTCTCTTCTCCCCACACACTTGTCCAACTTCCCAAGATTGAGCAAATCCTCCAATAGTTGGAGCAAGTGGCTACACTCTTCAGTGTCATGCCCAGCACATCGGTGGTAAGCGCAATGCTTACGAATGTCAGGACCATCTCGATCGGGATGGGGAAGCTTGATGAGGTTGCAAGACTGGGCATACTGCATGGCCTCCGCTGCAGATCGATTCAAGGCCGTAAACTCACCAGTCCTGGTGCGGGATCGGAGATGGTCATCACCCGATCGGTGTTCCGCCCGGCCGGCCGGTTTACGAGATGAAGACCCGACCTCTTGCGAGCGCTTTACGGCGTTCGCCTCGCCAGCATTGGCATAATCTGTGACCCTTCGAAGGGCCTCCTCATACGTGGCCGGGGGGTGTAAAATGAAGTCATGATATAAATACCCCACCCGGAGAGAGATGTGCAACATGTGGGTGGCGGTCGCATAATCCATGGGCTCGACTTCCCCGACCGCCGCCTTCCATTTGGTGAGGAAGTCGGTCAAGCTCTCGCCTTCAAGTTGCTTGGCCTTCTCCAGATACATGTAGGGCTTCCTCACCACTTTGGAAGTAATAAACTTCCTCACGAACTTGATCGCCAAGGTGTCAAACCTGTCGATCGAACCCGGCTGCAAAGTTCGAAACCATTCCGCCGCCGGACCGGTAAGCGTGGAATAGAATGCCCTGCACATCACGGCATCTGACACACCCTTCAGCGTCATATTGCTATAGAAATCGTTGACGTGAGCCTCGGGGTCTGTCCGGCTATCATAACTCTTCTCTCCAGAGACCTTTAAATCGAGCGGGTAGGGCTGAGCCATCACCGCCGCTGTGAAAGGCGTCTGGTGTAAGGTCGGTTGTTCGACCGAGGTTGCTGCAGGGTGCGCGTTTCTGAATTGCGCAAACTCCGCCTGGAGGTTGTACAGTAATCCTCGGGTCTCGTTGAGCTCGGCGGCTTGAGCTGTATCCCGAGCGCGTCGCCGTCAGTGAGATCTCGACCTGCTATACCCGGATGAAGCCTCCTGGCTGGCCTCCTGCATCTGTACGTCTTGCTGGCGGTTCGGGTCTTGGGGTCCCAAACGCTGACGCATCTCCGGTCGAAGACGATCAAAAGCTGCCGCTCGGGCAGTTTCTTCGGGGTCCTCCGCTTGGACGGGAACCTCGGCCGCTTGCTGGGCCTGCCCTGGTGCCTCCATCGCATCAGCACCCCCCGACCCCAACCGCGAATGAGCCGAGCGTCGAGCCCGGGAAGCGGACCGACGCTGCGGCTCTACTTGTGCGGCCGGGTGAACTGGAGGGGCGGCGGCTGGAGCCGTGTAAGCAGGCGTATATGGTGGATACCCAACCGGGGGAGTGTAGTACATCGGTTGGCCTGGCCAATATCCATACGGCGGAGGTAGGACCGGGTATGGATATTGGCCGGGATACATCACCGGCTGCTGCTGATATGGCTGACCGGGTGTTGGGTACCCCGGTTGAATGTAGTTCACCGGTTGTTGGGCAACCGGGTATGTGTTAGACGGATGCGGTGGTGAGAGATTGAGATTCAGTTCTACCGTCTGACCTTGCTGTTGGGTGGCATGGTGCCCAGATGAGCTCGCTGCATCCGCCTGGTCGTCGGCGAAGTTGTTTTGAGCCCACGGATACATGATTGATTGGAAAGGGAGCGGGTGCTCGTCAAGACGTTGCTTTCTCACACGGATCCCCACGGACGGCGCCAAAATGATACTGCTAATTCTACGTAAGCAATATAAAATAAACCCGAGACCAATTAAAGCAAGTAAAAGACTTTATTGATCACGGTAAAGGCCCTAAGTACAATCTACTTGGTTGTTCTGAGTACCAACTGACTGCGGTCGGGATTCTCTAATAACAACCTATCGATCGTCCAAAAGTCCTCTACACTGTAGCTACTGTGGGTATTTATAGCCGCTGTGCCAGGGACAAGGATCCGGCCGTTCGGCATGTTCTCCACGTAGCCACCACGTGTCATCCTCCCGGGTACCCTGTCTGTCGTTGTAAAGAGCCGCCACGTGTCCTTTGTCAGCTCTCTCGCCAAAGGGATTCCGCTCGGTGGTTGACACTAACGCTCGGGCAATTCCCGGTCGCTTCCCGACCGGGTTCTTCATAAAAAGCCAGACCTGCTACCTGCAAAGACAAAAAGACAAAGACAAGAGCAAGTCGGTCATGGTGAAGCTTATGTCGGTCGGGATATTCCCTACCACTGTCATAAATATCCAAACAAAACAGAAGCTAAGCATAAGAGTCGGGGTGCTATGTCACATCTAGGTTTGAGAACCTAGATGCACAGGCTAACTAACTAAACAAGTATAATCCACAAATTCATATTCAAATACAATTCAAAGCACACAGACCATCTAACTAATACTAGAGCTATCTATCTAAACTAAATCCACGAGTCCAACTAGCGCGCTCCAAAGTTACTGATCAACACCAGAAAAACATATGGTGCAACAACCATCAGCGAATAATGTGATAGACAATTTTAATATAATGTCCTCGCAAGTGCACGAGTCATTGTAGCAATAACGTGCAAAATCAAGGGTCGATCCCACAGGAAATTGTACGATGCAATTTAATGACTTGAAATTAAATTAATCGACTTAACAATTTAAAAGTAGTGCTAGAAACGAATATCAAATAATTAGCTCAAATGCAAGATAATCAAATTAAAATTCAAGAAGTTAAGTAATTAAGGCTAAATTAAAAGCCATGGTGTGTACTTAGTTAATTTCCTCAATCAAATTAATGAAAGCTAAATTGGCCAAATTCAACACAACTAATCTCAACATAAAACATAAAATAAAACTTAAAACTCAATTGGCAAATTAAACATAAATTAATGCATTGACAATTTCTAACATATTCCTAGAGAAATTATTTAGCAAAACTTAATTAAAGAATTAATCACACTAATACTTTAGCACAATTTTACGAACCAGAATTCATAAAGTCAAAAGGGAAATGCTCATTAACTTCTTAGAAGAATTAAAAGACTACCAAATTCAACAAGAAACTAGTTGCTGCAATTAACAATCTTGAAGCTTGAACTAACAACATTCTTAAGCAATTAGCACTATACTTAGCATCATAATCAAAGCATTGCAGTATAGTACTCTACTCAACAAAATTGGAATTGAAGGAATAGTTATGAATAGCTACGGAAATTAAGAAAGGAAACAAGCAAAGTTTGTTTTCGAATGCTACTGAAACAAGAATTACTGCCCAGAATTAACTAACCAACCGCCCAAGAAGCTACCACGACTGAATAGAAATCGTCGGCCAGAAGAAATTGCACCACCGCCAATCAGAAGCTGCCACAGAGAGAGAAATCCTTGCTCACCGCCCTCCGAAATTGCTCCCGGATTGAATTGATGATCCCTGATGAAGATTTGGCGCCGCGGAAATCCTGAACCAATGAATGCCATCGAACTCGTTCAAATCTTCCACCACTGAATCGGATCGCTTGAAGAACGCCATCCGGAAGTCTTATTCAAGATTGTGATCAAGAACCTGCGCTTCTTTCTCTCATTTGTCGGCTCTGTTTTGACGGAGTATTATTTGGGATGGTTAACTTATTAATAATAATATAATAATCTCTACTATAATATAGCCAAACATTTTTGATAAATAAAACGAAAAAATTGTTTTCCCGCCCATGAGAAGCGATGACATTTGGGGAGGGGCGTTTTAGACTTAAAAGAACAACTTAATTTTAAAGTATTTCATTTATTTCATTCATTGCGTGCAAGAAACATTTACATCTTTGCAGACTTTGCAGGTGCTAGCTGCTATTTCCAAGGCAAAAATTCAGTTTGCTATTTCCAAGGCATTAAAAAATTAATTTTGGCGGATGAGTACAACACAGAGATTCAATAAATTATATACAAATACAGTAAAAATTTAATTAAAAAAACCTTACGAGTACAGTTAAAACTATATATATATATATATATATATATATATATATATATATATATATATATATATATATATAATGTTACTGTCACTAATTTGCACATATAAATTAATAAATTGACTTATCAAACAGAAAAAAAATCACATCAAGTTGTAAAATGAAATACAAATTAATAAAAAAGTAAAAAATTGTAAAATGAAATACAAATTAATAAAAAAGTAAAAAATCAAATAACATTCGCTAGAAAAACGTGCATACATTTGATGAGATTTTTTCGGTTTAAATAAATTTTCCGATGAAGCATGTACAATTTGCATGTTAAAAAAATAAAAGATTAGTAGAAATTAAAAAAATCTACTATAAATGAATAACATTTAAAAAATTAAACCAAAAGAATTAACAAAAAATCGAAAAGTATAATCATGCAATGGGGAGAAAAAATCAAAAAATATAATCATATGTTTTGCGGAAAAAAATCGAAAAAAAATTAATAGAACCAAAATAAACTATTAAAAAAGGAAAAGAAAAATGACAAGAAAAATAAAAAAAATATTAATAATAAAAAGTATAACATACACAGTATACAGGGGTTTAGATCAGAAATTTTCTCTCATTGACCTGCACGATTTACATGTCTGAAAAAAAAAAAAAAACAAAAATTGATGTTAAAAAAGAAATAGATATCTTATATATTAAAAACCTTAGAAAAAAATGAACATAAAGAATTTTAGATATACCTATTTGTTTAGATTCGATTTGTTTCCATGCTTTTGTTCCTGTTTCCCGATATAGTCGCGAGGCTTACGGCGAAGCATTAGAATCAGAAGAATGGTAGGTTAGGATTTGTGGTTGATAAAAGATGAAGGGGTGGAAGGAGTGATGAAAAGAAAGAAAAGAGGTGGAAGTAAGTTGCTGCGAGGAAGAAAGAAGAAATGAGGATTAGGGTTTTCAGATTTTAATATTAATAGGCTGGTTATTGGGTTTGACTGGTTTGGGCCATGAGTTAATTGGGTTTTAATTAAATATTGTTTTGTAAAAAGTTTCATTAAATGAGCCTGATAGTTTTGATCAAATAACATTATTATTATTATTATTATTATTATTATTATTATTATTATTATTATTATTATTATTATATATTCATTCTATATTTTATTATTAGTATTATTATTACCAATAATAATATTTTTTGTTATTATTCTTATTTTGGACTGTAAATTCAATTGGGTTTGGTCTATTAACATTATTATTATTATTATTATTATTATTATTATTATTATTATTATTAAGAGTAATGCATATGTATATTAAATTACGAATGCGATAATTCTCTCTAATGTTATTTAACGTAATGAAAATAAATAAAAGCTAAAGAGGTTTTCAAAAAAAAATAATAATGTTAAAGTCAAAGGCTTTCATCTCTAAAATTATTTTTTTTAAAAAATTGCCTTTGTACATGGATAATTTTAAGTGGCTTTATCTACGATTAGCAACCCTAAATTTGTTATTGCATGTCAAAATGGGATAAATTATGCTGTGGAATCGTGTCTACCTTGAAATGTGGATAGAGTTCTAAAATTGTTAACAATTATGAATATATAATTCAAAATTTATGAACATACAATACCATAATTATGAACATAGAGTTGTAAACATAATTACGAATATATAGTCCTGTAATTACGAATATAGATATTCAATAATTGTGAATATGAAGTTCATAAATTATAAATATATAGTTTTATAATTATGAACATAGAATTCTTTAATTGTGAATATATAGTTTAATAATTATGAATATGAAGTTTAAAAATTATGAATATATAACGTTATAATTATGAGCATATAGTTTAGTAATTATGAAGATAGAACCGTATTTACCTTGCAAGGTAGACACGGTTTCACAACATAACCGAGTATTTGAAGAGTACTCTTCTTTAAGTATAAATGTGGTCCACAAATAAGTTTTTAACAATTTGTAATTTTAAGTATTAATATTTTGACTTTTCAAAAACTTTAAATCAAATATATTTTAATGATTTTTGTAATATATATATATATATATATATATATATATATATATATATATATGAGTTGAATATATGCTTATATTAAATTGTGTATTTTTTTTTCTACTAAATACTTATATTAATAGCCAAGAATGTGGATATATGTGCTCTCATAAATATCAATTCTTATTTACTATATTAAATTGTGTATTTTTTTTTCTACTAAATACTTATATTAATAGTCAAGAATGTGGATATATGTGCTCTCATAAATATCAATTCTTATTTTAATTGTAAATATTTATAGTCATATTTTTATTATAGCAAGTCAACAAAGATGTACGGAGTATTAAAAAAATAAACCTCATATTGAATTTTTATATATAAAATTTATTAACATAATAATTTTTAAAAATATACTCCGTAAAATAATTATACTATTTCAAATATTTAATCCGTGCATCGCACGGGACAATTACTAGTAATAATAAAAATATAATAATAATAATAAATTGAGGTTGAGATATTATTGAGCTTATATATTTAACAAAAACTAAACAAAAATATTAAAAACCCAAACATTATTAATTATTAAAATAAATGCATAATTAATTAAAATTACTAATGAATAATAAAAAGAATTTATATAAATTATCAAAACAAATAATGTTTATCAGTAATCCACTTCCACGCGTTGAGTACAATATAGGTAGATATAATAAAATCATTTTGAGACTGAGGAATACATATATATAATCCCACGGAACTCTAGCTTTAAAACCAAGATCAAGACTCCGAACATATCAGCAAACTCGGCATTATAAAATAACGTAAAGACTTTAGCATGCAACCTAAGATTACAAGGCAAGGCAATAATAAGGCTTAATAACAAACCAAGACAACACCAAGACTCACAACGATCCATAACAATGATACCATGATCCGGCCTATAGCACGGTAATCATACGATCTGTGCCTATAGCACAATGATCAAGCACTCACAGTACCAAACATAACATGATCCGGCCTATAGCACGGTAATCATGCGATCTGTGCCTATAGCACAATGATCAAGCACTCGCAGTGCCAAACAGAACATGTTCCGGCCTATAGCACGGTAAACATGCGACGTGTGCCTATAGCACGATGATCAAGCACTCGCAGTGCCAAACAGAACATGATCCGGCCTATAGCATGGTAATCATGCGATCTGGGCCTATAGCACAATGATCAAGCACTCGCAGTGCCAACAATACTATGATCTGGCCTATAACACGGTAATCATAGCTCTTTTCTCATCTAGGGCAACAACACCACAATCAGCATTCAACAGCAATAATCAATAGTGACCAATACTCAACACCAATGTCCACCAGTCACAATATCACAACAAGGGATGGTCAGGGAAAGGGGCACAACAAGCACGTAGACTCTTATCACCAATTGTCATCAATACAAACACACGAACCACGGGAAGTAACCTAGACTCTACTTCCAAGATCTCAAAGCAACCACAAGGCTCACAAGGGAACATACAAACCTCATCCTAGGCCAACGGGATACCATCTCGACCATATGCAATACCCATGACTCACAAATCCTCACTCGGTATCTGCGACATCAAATTGGACTTATAAACATCAAACGGGGCATAACGGGACATGGGGAAACATCAAACGGGGCATAACGGGACACAGGGGAACATCAAACCGGGAAAACAACACGACGCATCGCCCATACCAGCGAGCGGTACAGCGGGAGAACGAACTCCCGCTGGTGGGGCTGCCCGTTCCAGTGGGACTTCCGGCGGGAGGACGAACCCCCGCCGGTACCCCCGCTGGAACATGGCACTATTCCGGCAGGTGGTCAGGTGGGGGTTCGTCCCCCCACCAACTACCCGCTGGAACGACTTCCTTGGCTACGGTTCCCATCCCAAGAATTCATCAATTGAGTCCAAATCCAAGTCCAAGCACCTCCGAACACATATCAACAATAACACGGAATTGAATACCAAGAATAAGCCAAGATACAACAAAATTACACTCTAGATGCAAACCCTAAACATGCCAAGATTCAAGACTAGAACCTATAGTAAATCAAGAACATCAAGATACTCGAGAACATCAAGATGCTATCATACAAACCCTAATAACAAGCTCTAAACCTGCTTTGAACCCAAGATCATACATATACGCATTATGAATATCAAGAACTTCAAGATCATCAAGCAACCATAACATAAATCCTACGACAAGCTCTAACAAGGCATAATCACAAGAACATACATACGATTATCAATGGAGCCAATAAATAAGATATAGCAAGGAAAATAGGTTTTGTAAGACATGGGTTACCTCTTAGCCTTAATTAAATCTCTCACAACTCCTAGGATCCTTCCTCAAGATTTCCTTCCGATTGATCTTTTCCTAAGCTTGGCGATGGGGGAAATCCTTGGTTAGGTTTCTTGGGGAATTTCGAGTGATATGGGTGGAAAAGGCTCTAAACTCTTTCTAATCCCCTATATATAGATCTAGGAATCCTAATTAGAATATGAATGGTAAAGGCCCACTTTCTTTAATCCTATCAGACTTAAAGGCTCTAGCTTAGGCAAGGGTCCACGATCCATCGTGGACCACACTAATTAATTAAAGAAAATCCGAACTAGATTAAATCCTTTTTAACTATCTTTAAGGGAATTAATTAAATAATTAATTAATCCGGGTTTAGATGTAGTAACACGGGGTGTTACACTCTCCCCCCCTAACGAGAAGCTTCGTCCCCGAAGTTTGGATGCAACGAGATCTCCTCTATACCCTGTATTCTTAAGGGGGCACTAAGTTACCTTGCGCGAATAAGTCGGGGTAGCGCTCCCTCATCGTATCCTCTAGTTCCAAAGTCACTTCTTCGGTTTCGTGGTTGGACCAAAGGACTTTGACCATTTTCACAGTCTTCCTGCGAGTTTCCCTTGTCTTTGTGTCTAGGATTCTTACGGGTTTCTCCTCATAGGACAAAGTCCCATCAAAACTCACTACCTCAGGCTGGAGGACATGAGTTGCATCGTGCACGTATTTCTTTAGTTGTGATACGTGGAATACGTTGTGCCATCGGTCCAATTCGGCTAGTAAGGCTAGGCGGTAAGCCAGATTTCCAACTCTTTCCAAGATTTCGTAGGGGCCAATAAACTTGGGACTTAACTTTCCCTTCTTCCCAAACCTCATCACTCCCCGGGTGGGAGAGATTTTCAACCATACCTTTTCCCTTACTTGAAATTCAGCTATCTCCCCCCCTTAGTCGGCGTAGGACTTTTGATGATCTTGTGTTGTCTTCATTCTCTCCTGTATGTACTTGATCTTTACTATGGTGTCTTGTAAATATTGCGGCCCCAAGGTCACTGGGTTAACCATGTCTTCCTAGCATAATGGGGTCCTACACTTTTGACCATACAAAGGTTCGTAGGGTGCCATACAAATACTCGCGTGGTAGCTATTGTTGTAGGAGAATTCGATCAAATCTAAGTGTTCTTCCCATGATCCCTGTAAGTCCAACATGCAAGCCCTCAACATATCCTCAAGGGTTTGGATGGTCCTCTCAGTCTGACCGTCGGTCGTGGGGTGGAAAGCGGTACTTAACTTTAATCTTTTTCCTAAAGCTGCTTGTAGTGATTTCCAAAACTGCAAAAGGAATCCTGAATCTCTGTCAGAGAAAATATCCCGTGGAACCCCATGGTATTTGACCACTTGGCTTATATAAGCCTTGGCCAATTGGTTCATTGTCCATGTTTCCTTCATGACAATGAATGGTGCTGTTTTGGTCAGCCGATCCACTATTACCCATATCTTTTGTTTACCCGTTCGTGTCACGGGCAACCCTCCCACAAAGTCCATAGAGATGAAATCCCACTTCCCTTGTGGTATTTCTAGTGGTTGCACCAGTCCCTTGGGTTTACACCTTTCCGCTTTTACCTTTTGGCAGTTTAAGTACTTACTCACAAAACTGGCCACTTCCCTTTTCATGTTGGGCCACCAAAATGTGCACATTCCTATATTATATATTCACAATTATTGAACTCTATATTCACAATTACAAAACTCTATGTTCATAATTTTCAATGTTCATATTCCCAATTGTTGAACTCTATATTCACAAATCATTGAACTATATGTTCATAATTTTATAACTATACAATATATAAATTATGAATATATAGTATAGAAATTATAAATCTACAGTTTAGAAATTATGAATCTACATTATAGAAATTATGAATTTATAGTATATAAATTATGGATCTATAGTATAGAAATTATGGATCTATAGTATAGAAATTATGGATCCAATTCCGTGTGCACCTTGCATGGTGCACACGGTTGCACAACATAACACTCCCTAATGCAAAAATATTATAAAGATGTACAAAAAATAAGTGTAAAATATGCCTATCAAATTCCACCACATTAGAACGTTTGCTTGTCCCCAAGAAAAAATATTATTTGCTAAATTAAAATGAAATCCCCCAAAACTCATAACACATCATGAACAACAATCTGAAGCACCCTGCAATTAATAAGTTAGAACCTTTGTCTGAAAATGGAGATAACTAAATAAGTAAGCCCTCGTAGGAATATCACTCATCATGCTTGTTGGTTTTCACGACCATGGGTGGCCGTTCGGCAGGCCAACACTACCGTAAGAATAGGCTTTGGAGTGTAAAAATATGAACAAAAGAGGGGAAAATAAAATTGAGAGAAGAGAGAATAATGCGGTGTTGTTTCTCTAGGGTTTGGCCGTTCAAGGTGCCGATCCCCTATCAGGTGATCCCGTGGGGATATTTATACATGAATACGAGATTCTTACAAGGTAAGTAGGGCTAACGTAAACTCAAGAAGGGCTGACGTAGGGCTGACACGGTGCCTACTTGATACCATAGCCATCTAGGCTAATTAAGGAAGCTATTTAACGAACGAAGATCGCCTCTGCGGAATCCGCTGGTATCTGTCTTTGGATCTGAACCCGGCCGGGAATGCCCCGATCGCCGAGGGGATGCTCTCTAAGGGCCGCCGCACCCGGGCGAGGACACACCGCCTGCGTAGACTGGTTGCCCATCTGACCCCCGTAGAGTATTCGGCCGGTGACACTCCGCCCACCAGGGCTGGTCGTTCCCTCGAGTCTCGCCTGGGAGCCCTGCCAAGGGCACATCTGTAACACCCCGAAAATTCACCCTCCAAACCTTAATTAATTATTTAATTAATTCATATATGTTCCCCATCAGTATTTTAATGATTCCATTAGAAGTGGTTAAAGGGATTTAAGGATGGATCGGTGTAAAGGTTGGAACATGGACGTGTCATGCGGTCATGGTTTTATTCTTGTATCCTAATGTTGTCTTATCGTGCCAATGTTAATGGTATGTCATGATTCTGTCTATGTTGGTGAGTGTATCCTCCAATGAGTTATTATCCTGGTTTTAAAGCTAGAGTTTTTTTAGGACTATATTTATGTATTCCCAAGTCTCAAAATGACTTTCTTATATCTATATATATTGTACTCACCACATGGGAGTGGGTTACTTAGCATTATTCGCCAACGGTTGCTACACCATATGTTTTTCAGGTACGGACTAGTTGATTCGAGAGCGCGTTAGACGGAGCCGTGGTTCCTAGTTTTAGATAGTGTTAGCTTTGGTTTGACGGCCTGTGAGCCATGATGCTATTCAGATGATGTTTATGGATTATGAGTAGTTAGTTAGTAGCCTGTGCATCTAAGTTCTTAGCTTAAATGTGGCATAGCACCCCCAACTATTATATTTAGCTTCCACTTATTTCGATATTAATGATAAACTTATCCATGTTTCGTAAGCCTTAATTGTTTTAAAATATGACTAAAAATCGGGGGTGTTACAGTTGGTATCAGAGCCTAAGTTCGACCCTAGGATTAATGCCCTTAGGATAAGACTTTAAGAGGTTAAGCCTAAATTCTAGGTGTTTAAGTACTTAGGATGTAAGTATCTTAGGACGCGCGGTGAGATTGTGGGTTTATTTATAGCTTTCTATCATGTTTCCTATGCTTGCTCCTTGTTTAGCTTTAGTCCTGATAGTTAAGGCACCAGGTAAGGGTGTAAGTTCCTGACTTACATCTATGACCGATGTTAACCCTGTAGAATCTGAGATGGCACCACCAAGAAATCACGCTAGAACTCCTGAGACGCCTACTAAGAAACAGTTGGTTTAGAACCTGCATTAGTTGACTCAGATCGCCGAGTCACTGAGCAACGCCATCCTCAACAACAATAACCACCCTCCACCAAATGGGAATAGTGATGTAGCTTGTCAAGTGTCGAGTCACCGTCCTCCTATCTTTGCCGGGAAGAAAACCCTACGATACTCGAAGAATGGGTCCAGACGTTCGATAAGATCTTTGAAGTGGTGGATTGCCCGGAAGAACGTCGAGTCGAGATGGCATCGTTTTACTTTGGACACGAGGCCGACTTATGGTGGATTCATGAAGGCCCAGTCTGTAGGCAAGAACCGGGGAGCCTTGAAAGATAAGCTACGGGAACGCTTTTATCCCGCACACGTAAGAGCAGCTATGTACGAAGACTTCCTTCACTTGAAACAAGGATTCTCCACAGTGGTAGAATACCACAAAAGGTTCTTAGAGTTGGCTTGTTTCGCCCACGTGTTGGTTCATACGGAGGCAACTAAAGTGGAGAAAGTTGTTGCCAGGCTCAACTTTGAGGCTAGAAAAGCCTTGACCGTGAACAAGCCAAGGACTCTCAACGACACTTACATCAGTGCCACCGTTCTTTATCGGATTCAGCAGCTGCAATGGGGAGCCCAAGAGCAAGTAAAGAGAAAGAATGATGGAAATGGAGGCCCTAACTTAAAAAGGCCAAGGAGCGATTCCAACGTTAGGGCGACTTATCAGCAAGCCCAAGGATCGCCTAGAGGAAGCAACGAGGCCAGAGGGGGGCAAACCCTTTGTAGAAGATGTGGCAAGGATCATTGGGGAAAAGATTGCCAAGGGAACGTCATGCATTGCTACAATTGTGGGGAAAGGGGCCACAAATCCTTTGAGTGTAACCAACCTACACGTGGAAGACCACCGCCCACAGGGCAACAAGGAAATATGAACAACTGAGGGGGCTATGGAGGACCTGGGAAGGTATTCATCATGAGTCGCACTCAAGCTGATGCTGAGGCCGAAGCCGAAGCCAAAACCGAAACCGAAGTCGTAGCCATGGGAGATGAGGACCTTGCAGGTAACACTTTCTAACCCATCCTCGTGCCATAGAGCTTTTATCTTATATAGCTTCTTTGAGTTCTCTTGTTTTGGGTAAAATTCATTAGATGATCCAATTAGCCTAATTCCTTGTCCCATCTATAGAGCTAATTAGAATAATGAATTGTGTCCCCTTATGAGTTACTAGGCCTTAGAAATAATACTTAGGTAATCTAGAGGTCCAACTAGGAGGTTTTATCTTAGAGCCTTTAATTCCACCTTGGGGCTAGTAAGGGTAAAATCCTAGAAACCTTGAGGAAGTTGAACCAAAAGAATCTTAGAAAAAGCTAAATATATCTTAAGAGATTCAAACCCAAGACCTCCCTTTTTCCAAACCAAGCTTTTAACCATTAAACCACAAATATTTCTTGAAACTTATTGAAATCCAAATCTTCTTAACCCTGTTTCCTCTTCCACTTTTCCACCCAAAACCTCTCCCTCTCTTGCTCAGTCGAACGACCCCCAAACCCCCGTCCGAATCACCGGCCAACGACCCACACAAAACTCGCGGAGAACCGCCACACCACCCGCTACCACCTTTCGCCGTCGCTGACCACCGAGTCGCGAACAACAGCAACCCAGCTGAAGCAGCAGCAGCCCGCCGAGCCCCAACTACCGTAAGCCGTTGCCACCGTTCGCTGACGCAGCTCCGCCCATCGTCCTGCCGTCGTAGCCTCGCCGTCCGTCGCCGTCAACCGCAATCCTCGCCGGTTGTCCTCGTCGAATGGGAAAGTCCCAACACCAACACTCTCTAATTCCTCTACAATGCCGAGGAGACCCGCTAATGCCCGTAGAGCGGAGTGGAATGACGTCGATTATTTGGTGTTGGAAGGTAAAACCCTTGAACCCGATCAATTTTCTCGTGAATTGACTAAGATGCTTAGGTTCCAAGGCTTGTTAGGAGTATTTTTGGATATAAAATGCGATACTTACCCCGAAT